ACCTTTGCATAACATTTGCCAGCATCGCGCGTCCGATTACGGCTTGTTGGAGCTGATCTTCGTGATCGCCGATGAAAAGCAGCGGTCGGTGCGGATCGACGCCCGGAACAACGAGGGCCAAACACCACTGGGCTTGGCAGTGAAAAGCAGGGACTGCACAGCGGTCGGAATTTTGTTGCGACGAGGGGCCGATCCGAACGCAGCCCACGAGGATGGATTTACAGTTGTGCACACCATTGCCAGGACACCCATCGACGCGAACTTTCTGAAGAAGTTCTTTGAGATCTGCGACGAGGAGCAGCGAACGGTGCGGCTGGACGCTCGCGACAAGTGGGGTCGCACGCCACTGTCGGTGGCTCTGTTTTACGGCAACAGAAACGTAGTCGAGTGGCTGCTGCGCAACGGCGCTGATCCGAGCGCGGCACTCGCCTACGTTGCCACGAGCCCGCGAGCGAACGGCTACGCCGAGAAATTGTTGGGGATAATCAGCGAGATCCGCGGCTGGACGGCGAAAGTCGACGCACCGGATTATTTGGGTCGGACGCCGTTGCGCTTGGCTCTACAAGAGGGCAACGAGCGGGCGGCCGAGTGGCTGCTGCGCAACGGCGCGGATCCAAATTTAGCCGATGCCGAGGGTTGGAGACCTCTGCACCACGTTGCATGGCGAAAAATGGACGACGACGATGACTCGACAGAGTGGTTCTTTGAAATTTGCGACGAGATCCGGCGGCCGTTGCAGGTCGATGCCCGGGAGAAGAGGGGCTGGACGCCGATGCACGTGGCTCTGCGCCGCGACAACTTGAAGCTGGTCGAATTACTGCTGCGACGAGGCGCCGATCCCAATTCGGCTGATGAAAAAGGATCCACACCTTTGCATATTATCATTTGCGAGGAAGGAGTCGACGATGACTCGTTCGAGCTATTCTTCCGTATCAATGACGATATGCGACAGACGGTGCACATCGACGCTCGGAACGAATCGGGTGACACGCCGCTGCTCTCGGCTCTGCGCTACGAACGGAGGATCGTGGTGGAGTCGCTGTTGAAGAGAGGCGCCGATCCGAACTTGGCCGACAAGAAAGGGACCACGCCTCTGCATGTAATTTGTATGAAATACAACGACATCGACTTCGTGGAGAAGTTCATCGAGATCTGCGGACGCAACCAGCGAACAACGGTGCAGATCGACGCTCGGGACGAGTCGGGTCGGACCCCGTTGTACGTGGCTCTGAGCTACGCCGGCCAAAAGAACGTGGTCGAATGGCTCTTGAGGAATGGAGCCAATCCAAATTTGGCCAAGAACGACGGAACAACGCCCTTGCACAAGATTTGCACGATACAAGCCGATCCCGGCCTGTTGGGGCTATTCTTCGAGATCTGCAATGATATGCAGCTGAAGGTGCAGGTCGATGCCCAGGACAAGTGGGGTTGGACGCCGTTGCACTTGGCTCTGCGCCACGGCGACTCGAAGCTGGTCGAATTACTGCTGAGAGAAGGCGCCGATCCCAATGTACTCGTCGCGGACGTATGTACACCTTTGCATCTTATTTGCGTTAGAAACTGCGATGACGAATTGGCGAAGACATTCTTCAGGATCACCGGCGATCTTCGGCAAACGGTGCGGGTCGATGCTCGAGACAAATGCGGTCGGACTCCGCTGCAGTTCGCTGTGATGAATCTTTCACCGACTGTAGTCGATGTACTCTTGGATCATGGGGCTGATCTGTCTAGTTTCGTTTTTCCCTCCGAGAGTTACTTTTGCGAGAGATTTGACGTAATCAAACGCAAATGGGATAAATTGAAATTGGCATCTGGCATTTTAACCGTCCTTGAACGTCTTGAGGATAGAGAATATGATTTGAGCAGAAGCGATGTCCTGACGATCATTAAATTGTTCGTCAAGTACGGATTGTTCGAAAAATCACCGGATTTGTCGGAAAAATATTGGTACGACGAAGAGGAGTTCACGAGCAAAGCCAAAGAGATAATTATCATTCCTAGTCTGTCGCTCTATGATCTAATCCAGTTACGACCCAAAGAAGCTGCAAAATTTCTCACATACAAGAACTACTTCGAGGTCGAGGGATTAAACAATTTGGATAAAATCCCCGAAAAATATCGCGATTTGTGCTTGAGGCATCTTTGTGAAAAAATGTCTAGAAGATATTTTGAAAGGTTGGCACTCGATGCTTTTCAAAAGCTGATACACTATCGACTGCCGATTCTCTGCTGCGATATGGTCATCGAGAATTTGAAAAACGAAGATTTGTTTAGAATATACGAAGCCGGTGAAATCGATACAAAAGAAAATAAAGCCAAATTATCTGATATAGTTGACAAAGGTCTAGTTGATCAAAAAGTCCAGTTTATTAAAAGGTACTTGCTTTTTTTACCATCTAAATAATAAATTTATAAATTTTTCTAATCTCTCCATCTTTTGTATTTTCAGACAACGAAGTTGAGAAATGATAAATTGGCATCTTTATTTTCAAACTTGAAATATTTTTGTCAATGTGCAAGAAAGTTTAAATTGTGTAACAATGTACTATTTTAAAATATGAAAATAAGTTCAATAAAACTAATTGTATACTCGAGTATGCAGCAATGAAACAATATTAAACTGGACTTGAAGGTTATTTCAAAAATATTTTTGATTCTTCGTATTTTTTCAAGTGACTCGGAGAGTCAATGTATAGTTTATATGAGTGGGGTTAGTTTGATTTTGACTTTTTTTGTACCGATCAAGCTGCACTCAGATCATCTGAAAATTTCATTTTATTAGCTCTGCTGTATAAAAAATCACAAGCCAGTATCCTCTTCCCTCTATCTTAATTCTGTTTGTATTTTCGGCACATGAACATTTTCATCCCGACATCAAAACGATCGTAGACATTAATTTTAACGGTCAAATATTATTGTAATTTGTGGGCCTACATGTATTTTTCATCATTAGAAAACTCAGAATTTTAAATGTAAGTGTGTGGATTCTGTCTGGGGCATATTAAATATTTTGGAAAATATTCAAAAAATGATAAACGATAAATTTCAAGCCTAAATATTCAAGAACGAGTATGACTTTGAAAAATAAAAACCTATCCGATATTGAATTTTTATAGAGATTTTTTCGATGGGTGATTAATTATACTAGACCGTTTTATTGAAGATACAAAACGGATGCCAATCGATAGGCAAAGAACTTCCTCATAAAAAAAATGAATAAACGCATCAAACCCTGACGAGCCGTCGTCGATCAACGCACATTCCGCATCGATATTACTTCGAAGAATCTTTCCGACCAGAATCTCGATCTCAATCGGCAAAAAACCAGGGGTAAAACAAAACCACGCCACATCATTGCTGGGAGCGACGGCGGCACTTGGCTAATTCTCTCTATTTGTAACAATGTCACGAGACGCTTATATTTACGCGCGCACGTAAACGACGGGTGGTGTCGTGTACGCGTCAAGCGATCGATACCTCGAAATTAGTCATCTCTACCCGAAAGACCGCTACATAATTATCGTAACGAGATTTCTCGAGAGGAAGAAAAACGCAACTTTACGAACGCTTTTGAGTTTCTCTCTCTCTTTCTCTCTTAGCTTATAGCTCGACTCGGCAGCAGCTGTGCGTGGTACCCTTTAAGCTCGCGCGTTTCTCGTGGATATACATCACGCACTCACACACACGCGCGCGCGCGCGCAAAAAGTGCGAGACGCGCTTAAATATAATACACACGCGTACTGCGACAAAATTAGCCGTTTCCGCAACGAGAGAGTAAGAGAGAGAGAGAGAGAAGCTCTCGTCATCCACGCACGGAGCCAAGAGCAGTAAATACAATTATGCGATAGCGTAAGCGAGAGAGAGGAAGAATCGTCGTTTTCACGCGTGCGTTTTATTTTATTTATTTATTTTTTTTTTTGCACAAAAAGAGGGAAAAAAAGAATCAAAAATGAAACGAAACGGATGAATGAAAATAGAAAAGAGTTGCACACGCGCACACACACACGGGAGTACGTTTAATCACGCAGAGAAAACGAGCGAGAGAGAGAAAGAAAGAAAGAAACGAGACGCGTTCGACCGTACGTACGGATCGCGATACACGATTCGATGCAGGCGAAATCGCGGGCGCGTTATGTCACTCGTATCGAATCGCGGATAAAGCGCGCTACACGATAATATGCGATCGCGGGTCGAGCTTGGCAAGATTAACAATTTTCAAATTTAACAATTAAAACTGCCACGTCCGATGAATTCCAATCTAATAGTAAACTACGGAATACGTGTCGAAGTTGGAGCGCATTCGTTGCGGGCGACTCGATCGTTCCTGACAATAATTTATATATAGTAATGAGTTATGATCTGCACGAGTGTACCATACGTTTATGCAGCGAGCAATTAACGGCTGAGACACGATCGTCGTTAGTGGGCCCGACGACGAAGATCGACTCGGCATCGAGTTAATAATCGGTCGTTTATAAATTGCAGCGATTCCGGCACGTACGACGAAGCGCGTCGTCAATTATTAACCGAGCCCAAGCCGGCAGGTAACGTCTTAAATCTGTTACTCGGTCATTCCCCAAGTCTATCGTAGTCATTTCGAGCGTGCATCGAAGAGATCCACGAGCGAAAGAAAAAGAGCAGATAATGAAATTTCGCAAAACTGCATTCACGAAGCGGATGTGTACTGCCACAAGTAGCGAGAGCATAATATACAGAGACAGAGAGAGAGATACGTTATCAATGAGTGCACGAATGTGTGGAGCCGTCGATTTCACGCAACGATAGGCATTTCGGCTCTCTTGGTCTCCCAATGAAACGGCTCTTTGTGGCATAAAGACGTAAGTGCAACGCATCAAGAATAGTAATGAAAAAAGCAGCTCGCGAACGATCGCGATGTATGTATTATGAAGCTTGCATCGCGCACGCGTTCGTTAATTGATCTTTTTTTTTGTACAATATCGGAGTGCTCTCAACGATAATGCTGCTGCTGCTTTACGTACCTTTGCACCGATCTGGTTGCCGCACTGGCCGGCTTGCAAATGTACGATTTCCCTCATTTTGCTGCTGCTGCTGCTACTGCTGCCGTCGTCGTCACAACGCACTCGTTCTTGAGTTATCGAAACTTTTTATTTTATACAATTGATGTATTTTTTTTTTCTACGATACTCTGTGTCGCACTCGTGTCTACTGTACTTGGTACTAAAAAATTTTTTTCGCGGATCCGTTGCGAGACAAGTCGAAAAAAAAAATATAATAAGCGCACAAAACTGCCCTGCGTCGACTGCTACCGCCGCTGCTTCTGATGCTGCTCTTCGCTTCGCGAAGTCTCGAGCGCAAATGCAGCACCGAAGAGCTCCACGCTATACGGAACGTTTGGTGTCGGCGCTCGAGCTTCAGTACGTATGCGTGTGCGGCGTGATGCCGGCCGGTCACCGCCGCCGCCGCTGCCGCTACATATATATGGCCGATTCTCTGTCAAGTCGAATGGCCAAAAAAATTTTTTTTCTGCAAATATGAAAAACTTGTTGTTTTCGATGTCAAATTTGTCCCAAAAAAATTTTAGAAAAATTGGGGCCTTCTATGGCGCTTTTTCAGAGACGCAAAGTTGGCTTTTTTAGCGTTTTTTCGAAATTCATGAAAAATCGCAAATATTCAAATAATTTCTAGATTAAAGCGGAATGATTCAAAGGTAATCGTGACCACGAGCTTTTTTGTTGAAAATTGTCCAAATTTTCAGAAAAAATGTATGCCAAAGTGATTGGAGCTATATCTGTAAGCTTATAGAGTGGAAAAAACTTGAAAAAAAAACAAGAAATCTAATCGAGTTCAACTAAACATGTCAACTACTGCCTGATAAAGTTTTGTAATGGGTCTTAAAGTGTAACGCAATGTAGACAACAATGTATCGAAAAACATGCTAAGAAGGTCGAAAATAGGCTGTTTTTGGTGATTTCACGCATTGTGGGCCTAGTTGACATCTTGAGGAAGCTTTTTACATAGTTTTGGAAATGAAAGTCCGGTTCGAGCTCGATTAGACTTCTTGTTTTTTGTTTTTTCTAGTTTTTTCCACTCTATAAGTTCCCAGATAGCTCCAATCACTCTGGCATACATTTTTTCTGAAAATTTGAACAATTTTCAACAAAAAAGTTGCCGGACACTTTTACTTCCGAATCATTCTACTCTAATCTAGGAATTATTTGAATATTCGTGATTTTTCATGAATTTCGGAAAAACGCTAAAATGCCCAACTGTGGGTCTCTGAAAAAGTGTCATAAAAAGCCCCGATTTTTCTAAAAAATTTTTGGGACAAAAATTTTTTTTGACCATTTGACTTCACAGAGAATCGTCCATATACATCATCTCATATATATTGTATACTAGCAGAGAGCGCTCGATGACGATCTCCAGCTACTCATGTTTGAAAGGGTTTGGCTCGAATTCATACATGTTTCCTCCACACGAGCACATCGCCTACATGGGGCTGCACGAGCCCCGTGTATTATTAACGCGATAATTCGATCTCGGATCGTATCGCGTCATAAAAATATACAGTGGAATCCGCTTATTATGTCCACGCGATTAATATGGCCAACCATTTAATATGGTCAAAACGGCCTCGCGCTCCCGGTCCCATCCAATGTAAAAATATTTGAAAATTTATATAAAATCATGTTTTAATTATCTAATATCCTAAAAATTTACATCGGTATTGAATTCGGACTGGATTGAAAGCTCTCCTACCCTGACGTTTATAACAATTCAGAAGTGGGATATACACGCTCAAGTGTCTGAAAAGTTTTCGTTTTGTTTTTTGGTTTCCTGAGTGATTTTGGAGCAGTGCAAGTGTGCTTGAGCAGTCGCGCATCGAAGGTCAAAATTTGCTCAAAGTGTTTAAGTTTGAGAAATTTTAAGTTGAAAGTCGATCGTAGAGACGCAGCACAAATCCTAGAAAAATCACCATGGCAGAGGAGGAAGCAAGACAGCTTAAACTTCAACTACAAGTGGCACTTGCCGAGATAGATCGGCACAGGCAGCGTCGCGCCCAAGAGAAAAAACAGTACGATGATGAGGTCACCGAAATAAATAAACATCGATACTTGTGCTGATATTTTCTGACTTTTCTTTTCGTTAATTTTTTTGTTTTCATTTCGTTCTTCGAATCATCGATACATGAATTGATTTCTCAAAATTTCACTTATGATTCCTTTCCAACATACATCGCAGATTCTGGCCTCGAACCAATAACTATTCCTTAATATCATCCAACATCCTCTAAAACTAATCTCAGTAAAAGCAGAAGATGAATGAACGTCTGCGATTGTCGATAAGAAAAATCTCTGCAAGTAGTGCACATTCAACTCAATCGAGGCAAAGTATTTCGCGAATCTACCGGTGACAAGACTATTCTTTCGGGGTATTATTCGACTTTTTTCCATAATATGTAGCTTTCAGTGGTTAAACCTTTAAATTTTTCATCTAAAAATTTTGAAAAATTCCATTTGAAAGCTCTGTAATAATTTTTTGCCTAGAGTCATTCAAGACTGAGCTAGGACTCATTTAATGTATCATCTATTTATAAGCATTTTTGAAAACTATAAACAAGTCGCTGAAAAAACTTAGTTTTTGTCGACACAAATTGAATCGCTTATTCATTACATTATTGCACAAATGACCTTGATAAAAGTCATATATTTTGTTCAATTATTGTAGATATTTTCCTACCTAATGCTCCAGTGACAAAAAAAACCTCATTTGTAATACCACGTGTGTAGTACCATTACGTACATTAGATGTGCGTAAGTCATTAATGCGCCTTACTGAATGACTTCATTACGATTTTGGTGTGATTTTAACGATATCTGAGTCCCTCTATGAAAAACAGTACAAAACTGCGTATCAATGTCCAGTTAACAATAGAGCGGGAAAATAGAGCCAAGAAGCTACCATAAGCTCGAGACCACCTCGCTATAATAAATTAGTAGTGCCTGTAATTGCTAGTTATGTGCTCGATTTCTCACGTGAGCAAGTCATGTTTACAAATTTATAAATTCGAGGTGTACATCGTCATTGCCTACTTTAATTTTATTTTCTATCAGTGATTGCACACGATCAAGTGTTCGATGGAAAGTGGAGAAAACACATTGAGGTATTGCTTTTTTGCGTATGTTGTTATATATTTTGAAAAGTTTTTTCGAATCATTCTTAATTATTCATCAGGTTAAAGGACATGGATGTAATGTCGGGCCGCATACATTTGCCATTCAAATGTGAGATTTGTCATGAATCATTTGAACTGGAAAGTGAATTCAAACGCCACAACAACTCAGTACATAATCAAAGCGAACCCTGTGGATCTAAGGTTTTAGATGATATATTGGACCTAGAGAGTGAACTCGAGGGTCACAATTACTCAGAACATAATCAAAGCAAACCCTGTGAAAGTGAGATTTTCCCTGGTTCTTTTGAACTGCAAAGTGACCTTGAGAATCATAAGGACTCAGACCATTATCAAAGCCAACCCTTTGAATGTGAGACTTTTCCTAATTCATTTGGACAGCAAAGTGACCTCGCGGGTCACAAGGATACGGACTATAATCATAGCCAACCCTTTGAATGTGAGACTTTGAATGAATCATTTAAACTAGAAAGTAAGCTCGAACGTCACAAGGACTCAACACATAAACCACGGACAAACTTTGAACGCGAGATTAGTCATCGATCATTTGAACTGCAAAGTGACCTTGAGAATCATAAGGACTCAGACCATTATCAAAGCCAACTCTTTGAATGTGAGACTTTTTCTGATTCATTTGGACAGGAAAGTGGCCTCAGGGGTCAAGAAGACAAAGACCATAATCAGAAAGAAACCTTTGAATGTAAGATTTGTCACCGATCATTTGAACTGGAAAGTGACCTCAAGAGTCACGAGGAAACAGATCATAATGAGAAGAAACCTTATGAATGTGTAATTACACATTTCCCCAAATCATTGGGAACAAAAAGCAATCTCAATAATCAAGTAAATACAGCACATAGCCGTAGCAAATCCTTCGACTGTGAGATTTGTCATAAATCATTCGGACGAAAGGGTACTCTCAATAAACACATAAGTACAGTCCATAATCGGAGCAAACCCTTTGAATGTGAAAAGTGTCACAAATCATTCGGACAAAAAGGTCATCTTGTAACTCATATTAGTACAGTACATAATCGGAGCAAACCCTTTGAATGTGAAATTTGTCACAAATCATTTGGACACAAGCATAACCTCAATAAACACACAAGTGCAGTCCATAATCGGAGCAAACCCTTTGAATGTAAAAAGTGTCACAAATCATTCGGACAAAAAGGTCATCTTGTAACTCATATTAGTACAGTACATAATCGGAGTAAACCCTTTGAATGTGATATTTGTCACAAATCATTTGGATTAAAGAGTATTCTCAAAAATCACATAGTTACAGTACATAAGCGGAGCAAACCCTTTGAATGTGAACTTTGTCATGAATCATTTGGAGTAAAGGGTACCCTCAAAAAACACATAAGTGCAGTCCATAATCGGAGCAAAACCTTTGAATGTGAAATTTGTCACAGAACATTTGGACAAGAGAGTACTCTCAAAACTCACATGAACATACATTATCAGATCAAACCCTTTGTTTGCGAGATTTGTCGCAAATCGTTTGGGTTAAAAAGTTACCTCAATAAACACACCAATAGAAAACATAAGCATTACAAACCCTACAAATGTGAATTTTGTCCCGAATCATTCGGCACAAAGGGCAGCCTCGATGAACACATAAAATCGGCACATCCCTTTGAGACTGGTTAGCCACAAATGACTTAGATACTGGACTAAACTTGAAAACTACAATTTGACAGCACATAATTTTGATTACCCGAGACAATTGTGATGAAAGACTCTTACCTAAGTATTTAATGTAATTTTGGAAAATCTTTTAAATAAATATTTTTTAATTTTGTGAGAAACAATGAAATCTTTCCAACTCTTAACAGTTTTTTCATAATAGTTTGAATAATGACTTCTCTGCCAGGATGCGTCTGTCGGCTAAATAACGAAAAACGGATATTCCGTCTATGAATCTAATTTTATGTATTTTGTACTTGAATAATTCCACAAAAAATGTATGAAGTTAATTTATAATTTTGTCCCGCAACTTACAAAGAGAGCTTTTCAAGTCCAGGTCATGGATTTGGACTCAGAACTGAAGCTCCCTGTGCTTAGTTTGATCCCATGGGCCTTAGGGCCCATTTTGTAGAGGATCTTCCACATTATAAAAAAATCTTTGTTATTTTCTGTATCGATATAGAAGTACTTCAACTTTAGGGCTTCTTAAAGAGAGTGGTAGATGGTCCCAAAAATTCTGAAAAAATTCATGCAGATTCATTGAAAAATTAAAAAACTTTTGATCCATGCATTTTTTTGTTTAAGTACCTCTATATCGATATAGAAAATAACAACGATTTTTTTATAATGTGGAAAATCCTCTACGAAATGGGCCCCAAGGCCCATTGGATCAAACTAAGCACAGGGAGCTTCAGTATTGAGTACGAGAAGACGCCCAAAAAAGTTTGGTAAAGATCTGTGACCCGGACCTTAAAAGCTCTCCTTGTTACAGCAATCAATTAATATTTGAAAAATAATGTAAGTATGATGAATGTCTTCAAAATTTTGCATTAATCTTTGCTATGCTCTGGAAAGAGCTAGAAGCTTTCTGATTTGTTGAGGTTCCGTGCCGCCCTAAAAAAATTATTTTCGCGAAAAAAGCGGTTTTACAGCTCTAGGCTTCATCGGCATAAATGAAAAATTCTGAAAAAATTCAAGGAAATGATTTTTGGCGTCGGAATTAAGAAAACAATACTCCAGTTTGGTATATTGAACCATTTCACCGAAAATTAAATACAGGAGTCTCTCGTTATACGCGGATTCTTTATCCGCGGAATACGTTATCCGCGGTTAATCGATTTGAGCCCATCCCTTCGTATCCGCGGGTCGAAGATAGTGATTTTTTTCACGCACGTATCTTATTCAGTTTGAATTTTGTTAGTGTAGACGCTTAAGTCGAAATTGTCAATTAACCTAAATTTGTTGAAAATTTATAAATTTATTTAAGTATGGCTACTTCTTAAACTCCGTCGAAAACTGCCTCAAAAAACACCGGCAAATCAGACTGATGATGCACCTGAAGCGATTTTTGATTCAAAACTGATTGTCGAAGTTATGGATCTAGTTATTCGAGCAGGTGAATTAGCAATGACTCATGATCCAATAATGACGCGTAGCTTGACTTTCAAACTCTACTGTGATTTAGCTGCACAATTTATGAAAAAATGCACAAAGATATTTTGAGACGAGCAAAGCAGAAAAAGTTAACTTAAAAATTACTTTAAAGATTAAACCTAGAATTGCATATATGTGTTGTAAATATAAATAAACATATATGAATAGATAAACTACTCAACAATTACGTTTATTTGTAGGTAAAATATACATATAAACTGTGCTTTCTCGAGGTTGAGGAACGTAACCCTCTCTCCCATAAGAGTAAGGTCTTATTATCCGCGGTTTTTTTATACGCGGTACTTTTGAGGAACGTATTCACTGCGTATAACGAGGGACTCCTGTAATTTAAATTTTCAATGATTTTTTCTGAAGGCCTGAAGCACTCAAAAAATCTGAAAAATTCGAGGTTGTTTGGATTGTTATAAAATGGCTTCAAGAATTTTTTAATTACTTTAGGGCCTCAGAAAAAATATAAATAAAAAATAGACGTTTATAGCGGGACAGGAGAGGGGAGGGGGTCTACAATTTTGATTCAACAAAATTTTAAACAAAAAAAAGGTATTTTATGAAGATTTGTTCTCAAAATGATCGTATTTTTCACCGAATTACGCATTCGGATCAGGTTAAAACTCTGGATCTGGTGGTTGCCACCTCGAATCTGGATGAACCAATGCAGCTAACTTTTAGTATAGGCATGTATTCCACCAGATCCAGAGTTTTAACCCGATCCCAATGCGTAATCGTGATAAAAAATACGATTATTTTGAAGACAAATGTTCAAAAACCACGTTTTTTTGTTTAAACACATTTATTATAAAAATGGTTGCATATATCGTAAATCTTACTACAGATTTGAAAATAGCTATAAAAATCCCATAAAATGTGGCATTTTTACTTTAATTTGACAATGGTTTCATACAAAAATAATGCGTTTCTTTCAATTTTTCCCTGAGTAGTAATTCGTAAGCACAGTCTCATACATATTAACGTTTGTAACGATAAAAGTTTTATCTAAAATTAGGTACATGCGCAGATAGACTGCACAAGCACTTGAGAGAAAAAGACTCGAATTTACAAACTAATGATCGAGTAGATATTATTTTAGGTCTTCGTATCAGAAAGTATATTTAATGTGTAACGATGAAATCTACAAGTTCGTCTATAGGACCAGTCTAATTTCATTGCGACTGCAAAAAAGTTAGGGTATGTGTGCACTTAGATTTATTCAAAATAAAAACTACTGTACAATATCGAAAAGTAGGTACAGTTTATAATCGTGGAAAAAAAGATGCAACAAAGTTGTCTCTCGTGTGTTGGTGGTTTGGGTCAAACAGTCGTATTCAGTGTTAGATTTTTTATTGAATTCATCGAACATTTTTTTCCAACATGGCATAAGAAGGCGACGATAATACATCATTACCGAGTCGTTTGAGTGAATTAACATACAAACACAACGTAGACGAGAAACGAGAACTATTTTGCCGCTGTGCGCACGAATGGGATGGAACGAATGCTTATGAGCGCAGATTTTTAACCGCGGCGCTGAACGATTAGAAAACATTTTCCAGTGTCAAAGATACGAATTATTTTCTGAAATTCGCATTGAAGAATTACAGCTACAAAATGATAGAACTGCTAGAGGCGATTCAGTTGAACATCCACGAATTTATGTTCGACGATGGGAAATCTGCCCTTCATTATTTAGTCGAACTAGACGGCTCCAAAGAAAGAAATCATTATTTTGACAATTTATTGGGGTTCAAGGTAACTGCCCCTGGAGAGGCCATGAGACTCATCCGATTTCTGGTGAAGAAATCGCAGAAAAATTACAGCGACAAGCACGGCTACTCGTACCTCCACGGAGCTTGCATAGCCGGCGACGGAGAAAAAGTCCGCCGATTCATGAGCGAAGGTGTGGGCGTCGACCTAGATTCGTACGAGTGTTCAGCGCTGCACGTCGCGGTCCAATACAGAAGCAGAGATATCGTGAAAATGTTACTGGACAACGGTGCCGATCCGAGTCAACGGGACCTCGAGGGGTCGACGCCTCTTCACGCCCTCGCGTGGCCGTGTCTGGACGAGTTCGCCACCGGATACCGATTCTGCGATAGAAAGAAACCCGTCGATCGGATCGTTGACGCGCTGCTGAAGAAAGGAGCGGACATCGAGGCTCGCAATCGTCACGGGGACACGCCTCTCCAATCGGCATCGTCTTGTTTCGACGTGGACCTCGTGAAATGCCTGCTGGAACACGGCGCGAGTTTGGACGGCTTGAACGAGTACAGAATTTTCAGTCGGAGTTTCACAACGTTGGAATTGAAAAATTATCCTTTGACTTTGAACGTGATCGAGGTGGTGCAATTGTTGCAGTCGGCTGGTTATAGATTGAGCTATTGGGGTAGACGGAGGATGTTGAAATGTTGGGTAAAAATCCGAGGAAACGATACCGATCACTTAATTCCTTGCGTCCCAGGTAGGCCATTTACCGTTTCAAGTTTAATAGTTTTGATAATTGCATTGTAATAATTTTTTTTTCTCTAATTCAGAGGGTAAATTTCTAGACTCGTCTCACGACTTTATCATAAACGAGCTAATGATTTATGAAAGATTTGGTTATTTTATGAAACAAGAAGCTGTCAATTACTTGCATGAACAAGTCGACAGAATGAAGCCAAAATTGTATCGAGACTATATCAAGTACGAACCTAGTCCACGGTTAATCAATCAATGGGAGCTCGAAGTTGCGACGTTAAATAGCATTATGTTGAACGACGACATATCTCTCCATGAACTTTGCCAAATGGGTTATCGGGAAGGTTATTTGATTATGAAAAAAATGAATAATTGGCGTGTACCATCGCTGCGTAACTTACCTTACTGGAGCATTATTGTTAAGAGACACCTAGCAAACATTATGATAAAGCCACATTTGGAATTGTTAGTAGCCGTTTTCTTCATGACTGACCCATGTCAATTGAACATGCCGTACACCTTTTGCCGCAAAGTTGCCGAATATATGAGCGACGAGGATCTATTTCGGCTAAGAGAATTAGTAGACGATAATCGTGTAGGATTTTTCGATACATTTTACAAATTCAAAAAATTGATTCATAACTTGACCCCGCAACTCAGGATAATCAATTAATATTTCACAATTCAGGACAAATGATTATATTTCATTATTTATATTTCAATCATTTGCTCGTTCTTTAAATAAAAAAATACTGTCAATACATTGACAAAATATTTCCTCGCAAAAATATGATTCATCTCTTTTTTACATCTTAAGCGTCAAACTTGGAGATTCGTCTCAATGTATCTGAAAATATTCAATTGTATGTATTCTGATGCTAAAATTGAGTACAAAAAATTTACCGGACACTTTTTGAATCAAATCGCCGAGAATTGATTTTTTTTTACTTGTAAGAAATTCGCCAAAAAACTTAATTATTATCGGTAAAAATTGAATCGCTAATTAATTACATTACTGCACAAATGACCTTGATAAAAGTCATATATTTTGTTCAATTATTGTAGATATTTTACTATCTAATGCTCCATTGACAAAGAAAACCTCATTCGTAATACCACATGTGTAATACCATTAGGTACAGCATCTGTGTGGGTTCATAGAGATATGGGTAATGCATTTATGCTCCTTACTGGATGACTTCATTACGATTTCGGTGTGGTTTTAACAATATCCGAGTCCCTCTATGAAAAACAGTACAAAACTGCGTATCAATGTCCAGTTAACAATAGAGCGGGAAAATAGAGCCAAGAAGCTACCATAAACTCGGGATCACCTCGCTATAACAATTTAGTAGTGCCTGTAATTGCTAGTTATGTGCTCGATTTCTCACGTGAGCAAGTCATGTTTACAAATTGATAAATTCGAGGTGTACATCGTCATTGCCTACTTTAATTTTATTTTCTATCAGTGATTGCACATGATCAAGTGTTCGATGGAAAGTTGAGAGAAAACATTGAGGTACTGCTTTTTTGCGTATATTGTTATATTTTTTGAAAAGTTTTTTCGAATCAATCTCAATTATTCATCAGGTTGAAAGACATGCATATAATATGGGGCAGCATACATTTGCCATTCAAATGTAAGATTTGTCATGAATCATTTGAACTGGAAACGGTGCTCGAACACCACAACGACTCAGTACATAATCAAAGAATAACTTCTGAATGTGAGATTTGTCACCAAACATTTGTACTGGAAAGTGAGCTCGAACGCCACAACGACTCAGTACATAATCAAAGCCAACCCTGTGAATCTAAGATTTTAGATGATATACTGGACCTAGAGAGTGACCTCGAGGGTCGGAATTACTCAGAATTTAATCAAAGAACAAACTTTGAATGTGAGATTAGTCATCAATCATCTAGACGGCAAAGTGACCTCGAGGGTCACAAGGACACAGACCATAATCATAGCCAACCCTTTGAATGTGAGATTAGTCATCGATCATCTAGACTGGAAAGTGACCTCGAGGGTCACAATTGCTCAGAACATAATCAAAGCCGACCCTTCGAATGTGAGATTTTTCCTGATTCATTTGGACAAGAAAGTGACCTCGAAGGTCACAATTACTCAGAACATACTCAAAGCCAACCCTTCGAATGTGAGATTTTTCCTGATTCATTTGGACAGCAAAGTGACCTCGAGACTCACAAGGACACAGACCATAATCATAGCCAACCCTTTGAATATGAGACTTTTTCTGATTCATTTGGACAGGAAAGTGGCCTCGGGGGTCAAGAAGACACAGACCATAATCAGAAAAAAACCTTTGAATGTAAGATTTGTCATCGATTATTTGAACTCCAATGTGACCTCAAGAGTCACGAGGAAACAGATCATAACGAGCAAAAACCCTATGAATGTGTAATGACACATTGCCCCAAATCATTGGGAACAAAAAGTAATCTCAATAATCACGTAAATACAGCACACAACCGTAGCAAACCCTTCGAGTGTGAAATTTGTCACAAATCATTTGGATACAAGGAAGTACTCAAAACTCACGTAAATTTAGTACATAATCGGATCAAACCATTTGAATGTGAAATTTGTCATCAATCATTTGGGCAAAAAGGTGATCGCAAAAAACACATAATAACAGTCCATAATCGGAGCAAACCCTTCGAGTGTGAAATTTGTCACAAATCATTCGGGCAAAAGAGTACTCTCAAAACTCACATAATAGCGGTGCATAATCGGAGCAAACCCTTCGAATGTGACATTTGTCACAAATCATTCGGACGAAAGTGTAACCTCGAAAAACACACAACAGCAGTACATGATAGGAGCAAACCGTTCGAATGTGATATTTGCCACAAATCATTCGGACAAACAACCGAACTTAATTGTCACACAAATTCAAAACATAAGCATTACAATTAACCCTACAAATGTGAATTTTGTCCCAAATCATTCGGCACAAAGGACCACCTCGACAAACACATAAAATTGGCACATCCCTTTGAGACTGGTTAGCTACAAATCACTTAGATACTGGACTAAACTTGACAACTACAATTTGACCGCACATAATCTTGACTACCCGAGACAATTGTGATAAAAGACTCTTACCTAAGTACGCAATGTAATTTTGGAAAATCTTTTAAATAAATATCTTTTGATTTTGTGAGAAACAATTAAATCTTTTCAACTGTTAACAATTTTTAAATAATTGTAAAAACTGTTCTTTGAATAATGACTTCTTTGCCAGGATCCGTCTTTCGGCTAAATAACGAAAAACGGATATTACGTCTATGAATCTAATTTTATGTATTCTCAACTTGCTCGCTTTGAACGATTCCGCAAAAAATGTTTAAAGTTAATTTATAATTTAATCCCGCAATTTAGTTATCAATTAATTATTCATATTATTTATATTTCTACTATTTACTCGTTGGCTTTTGTTTAATGACATGTTGTAAATAAAAAAATACTGCCAATGCATTGGCCAAATCTTTCTCACAAAAATATGATTCATCTCTTTTTTACATTTTAAGTTTCAAACTTGGAGATTCGTCTGAATATATCTGAAAATACTCGATTTTTTACATTTTGATGCTTTTCTAATCAAATTGCCGAGAATAGATTTTTGAAATTTGATATAAGAAAAATCTCTGCAAGTAGTGTATGTTCAGTTCACTCCAGCCAATGTATTTTGTGAATCTGTCTGATCCTCCCATATAGCTTTTTACCATTTTATATTTTCCAATAAGTCACATTTATTAAAGCAGTTACATTAATCTGGAAGAACTGAGCGAGGTATGCTCATAGATACGCGCAGAAGTTCTCATTTTGTCGATCGATGGCTGCGGGTGCATCATAAAATTCTTGCTACTCACTATGTAAATATCTACTATGCGAGGGTCGGTCAAATTTCGGAAAAAGTCCCACAATCGCAGGGAAGCGCGAATAAAGGTATGTTTCGTAAGAATCTCGAGGAAAAGTTGTAAAAAGGTAGGGCAGATAGTCACCTATTTCCAACGTCCACGCCGACCTCTCGAATCTCATTAGATGCGGCATAATAAGGGGAGATAAAATACCAAGGGGTATAAAAAGGCCCAAAAGTGAGAGTAGCCCTCTCTGTTGGTTTTTTCAATTTTGAAAGGCGCTTATCGCATAGCTTGTTCGTGATGTGGCTGAATTTTGTCTTTAAATATTCATAATTCACCAACGAAAAGTATTGCCCAAGGTTGTACTTCTGCATAGGCAGATATTCAGCAATGCGGGAACAAAAATAACTAATCAAAGTCATGCTTTCTGTGTTTTATTTAATTAATTTTACTCGGCAATGGGGGAGATACCTTTGGTTAGATTCAAACAAACAAATGTTTCACAAAGTGAAAAATTATATTAAAATATTAATTATTTCGGTTATATTTGTATTCGTTTCATTGAATCGAACCAAAGGTACATTTTTCATAACCGAGTAAAATTAATTGAACAAAAAAAAAACATTTGCTCGCCCACAAAAACACAGTCCGTGAAAATCGCAAAGATTTCGCATGGGACAAGTGTAAAAAAAATTTTCGACTAAATTTTATTTGCTCACCCACCTGACAAGACTCCTCGAGGGACAGAATGATTTGCACGTGACAGTTGCGATCAAAAATGTGGGTTTCAGAGCAATTTAATTAAACACCAAAAAAGTTTAGGAAGGTCGAAAAGATTACCCATGTGACAAATGGGAGAAGAAATTTGGGAAACGAACCAATTTGATAAAATACCAAAAGACAGTCCACGAAGGTCACAATGATTTTACAAGTGAGAAGTGCGATTCAAAATTCGGACCAAAAGTGCAATTACGCAGACACAGGAAAGCAGTTCATGAAGTTTGTAAAGTATACTACAATTTCGCGAATCTAACGATGGAAAGACTATTCTTTCCGGGTATTATTAGACTTTTTTCTATAATATGTAGTTTCCAGTGCTTAGACCTTTAGATTTTCCATGTAAAAATTTTGAAAAATTCCATTTGAAAGCTCAGCAGTCATTTTTTACCTGAAGTCATTCAAGACTGAGCTAGAAATGACTTAACGTATCATCTATTTGTAAGTCTTTTTGTAAACTATAAGAAATTCGCCAAAATAATTAGTTTTTATTGCCAAAAATCGAATTGCTTATTCATTACATTATTGCACAAATGACCTAGGTAAAAGTCATATCTTTTGTTAAATTATTGTAGATATTTTACTACCTAATGTTCAATTGACAGAAAATACCTCATTCGTAATACCACAGGTGTACTATACCATTATGTACAGCATCTATGTGGGTTCATAGAGATGTGAATAATGCATTTATGCGCGTGACTTAATGACTTTATTACGACTTTGGTGTGGTTTTGACAATATCCGAGTCCCGCTATGAAAAACAGTACAAAACTGCGTATCAATGTCCAGTTAACAATAGAGCGGGAAAATAGAGCCAAGAAGCTACCATAAGCTCGGGATCACCTCACTATAACAATTTAGTAGTGCCTGTAATTGCTAGTTGTGTGGTCGATTTCTCACGCGAGCAAGTCATGTTTACAAATTTATAAATTCGAGGTGTACATCGTCATTGCCTACTTTAATTTTATTTTCTATCAGTGATTGCACACGATCAAATGTTCGATGAAAAGTTGAGAGAACGCATTGAGGTTCTGCTTTTTTACATATGTTGTTACATTTTTTGAAAAGTTTTTTCGAATCAATCTCAATTATTCATCAGGTTGAAAGACATGGATATAGTATGGGGCAGCATACATTTGCCATTCAAATGTGAGATTTGTCATGAATCATTTGAACTGAAAACGGTGTTCGAACACCACAACGACTCAGTACATAATCAAAGAACAACTTCTGAATGTGAGATCTGTCATAAATCATTTGTACTGGAAAGTGAGCTCGAATGTCACAAACCCTGTGAATCTAAGATTTTAGATGATATATTGGACCTAGAGAGTGAACTCGAAGGTCGCAAGGACACTGTTCATAATCAAAGCAAATCCTGTGAAATTGAGATTTTTCCTGATTCGTTTGGACAGCAAAGTAACCTCAAGAGTTACGAGGACACAGACCATAATCATAGCCAACTCTTTGAATGTGAGATTTTGAATGAATCATTTAAACTGAAAAATAAGCTCGAACGTCTTAAGGACTCAACACATAATCCAAGGACAAACTTTGAATGTGAGATTAGTAATCGATCATTTGAACTGCAAAGTGACCTTGAGAATCATAAGGACTCAGACCATTATCAAAGCCAACCCTTTGAATGTGAGACTTTTTCTGATTCATTTGGACAGGAAAGTGGCCTCAGGGGTCAAGAAGACAAAGACCATAATCAGAAAGAAACCTTTGAATGTAAGATTTGTCACCGATCATTTGAACTGGAAAGTGACCTCAAGAGTCACGAGGAAACAGATCATAATGAGAAGAAACCCTATGAATGTGTAATTACACATTTCCCCAAATCATTGGGAACAAAAAGCAATCTCAATAATCAAGTAAATACAGCACATAGCCGTAGCAAATCCTTCGACTGTGAGATTTGTCATAAATCATTCGGACGAAAAGGTACTCTCAATAAACACATAAGTGCAGTCCATAATCGGAGCAAACCCTTTGAATGTGAAAAGTGTCACAAATCATTCGGACGAAAAAATCATCTTGTAACTCATATTAGTACAGTACATAATCGGAGCAAACCCTTTGAATGTGAAATTTGTCATCAATCATTTGGACAAAAAATTGATCTCAAAAAACATATAAGTTTAGTTCATGATCGGGTCAAACCATTTAAGTGTAAAATTTGTCACGTATCATTTGGACGAAAAAATTATCTTAAAACTCATGTTAATTTAGTACATTGTAAGGAAAAACCCTTTGATTGTGAAATTTGTCATAAATCATTTGGACTAAAGGCTACTCTAAAAACTCACATGACAGTCCATACTCAGAGTAAACCCTTCAAGTGTGAAATTTGTTACAAATCATTCAGTCTAAAGGATACTCTAAAAACTCACATGACAGTACATGATCAGATCAATCCCTTTGTTTGTGAAATTTGTAACAAATCATTTAGTTCAAAATGGAACCTCAATGATCATACCAATAGAAAACATAATCATTACAAACCCAACAAATGTGAATTTTGTCCCGAATCATTCGGCACAAAGGACCACCTCGACAAACACATAAAATTGGCACATCCCTTTGAGACTGGTTAGCTACAAATCAGTTAGATACTAGACTAAACTTGACAACTACAATTTGACAGCACATAATCTTGACTACCCAGGACAATTGTGTAAAAGACTCTTACCTAAGTACGCAATGTAATTTTGGAAAATCTTTTAAATAAGTATCTTTTGATTTCGTAAGAAACAATGAAATACTTTCAACTATTCACAATTTTGTAATAATTGTAAAAATTTTACTCTAAATAATGACTTCTCTGCCAGGATCAATTAATTATTTATATTATTTATATTCCTAATATTTACTCGTTGTTTTTTAATTACTGACATGTTGTAAATAAAAAAAACACTGACAATACATTCGAAAAAAGCGTCCAGCTATAACTATGAATTATCACTTTTTTACATTTTCAGTATCAAACTTGAAGCTTCGTCTGAATATCTTCTTTCAACATCTGAAAATATTCGGTTTTACGTATTTTAATGCTAAAATTGATCGAAAAAATTTCTCGGTCGCTTTTCGAGTCAAATCGCCGACAATGGCTTTTTGAATTTGTTATAAGCTTTTCCTAAACCCTGGAGATGGTTTAATATTCTTTTTTTTATCAGGAAACTGACGTTATATAATTTGTACCATTTTCGCTCTAGAATCTCGGTAACTTCTTCGCAATCTACTATAATATACCAAAAGAGCATCCAAATCCACGGACAATAATTTAACAATTTTTTAGTCTTACTCACATTTATTAATTAATGATACGATAGTACTGTCCGAGTGCCCTGATAAATACAAATTTAAGTTTTTAAATTACATAATCAATTTTACACATGTATCAAGGTTGACTTCTATGTATTTACTTATGAATCGGTGTATTGTTTCACTGGGGCTAAGATAAATTTTACTTATTCAATTTCCGTAGCACAAAATAGAAGAATCCATCGTTTAATTTCGGGACCAATATGAATAAAAGTGACGAAAAATTCAAGGAAGTTGTCTTAGAAAATAATTCAAGTAAACATGACAGTGTTGTTTCAAACGATAAACAACACAACACATTTCTCAATGAACCAAAAGATTATGCATGTGACAAATGCGAAGAGAAATTTGAGTTTCGAAGTCATATGAGTAGACACTAAATATCAGATCACGAAGTCCGCAGTGATTTTGCTTGCGACAAGTGTGAGAAAAAATTTGAGAAAAAATCCAGTTTGTTCAAACACCAGAAATTAGTACACAAAGAACGCGAAGATTATGTATGCAACAAGTGCAAGAGGAAATTTGAAAATACATCAACTTTCCATAAGCACAATAAAATATTCCACGATGTTTACAAAGATTACTTATGTGAAAAATGTACAAAGAGATTTGGAAATAAACATAGTTTGCTCATGCATATAAGAACAGTACATAAAGGACGGAAAGATTATGCATGCCACAGTTGTGAGATGAAATTGGGAACAAAATATAATTTGATCAGACACCAAAAGACAAATCACGGAGGTCGCAAAGATTATGCATGCAACAAGTGCGAGAAACGATTTGGAACTAAAACGTATTTGCTTTTGCACCTAAGGACCGTACACGAAGGTCGCAAAGATTACATATGTGACAAATGCGAAAAGAAGTTTGGAAAACAATGTAGCTTGATGAGACACCAAAAAATAGTCCATGAAGGTCGTAAAAATTTCGCATGCGACAGATGCGATATCAAATTCGGACATAAAGTGCAATTGCTCAATCATCGAAGGAAAATACACGGAAATTATAATAGTTAAGTGTGTTACAATTGCGAGAAAAAATATGTGTAGATACGACGAGGTTAGGTTGATTTTTCGAGTTTTGCTCGACGAGTAAAGATCTAGTCGAGTCAGAAAAATTCGAGTACTATTTTTATCATATCTCCGGTTCTATTGGTCGTATCAAGACGAATAAAAAAAGGAAATCTTTGTCTTTTTGTGTACAATAAAATGAAAAAATGTTTTGATAAAAATTCAATAGTTTAAGAGTTATAGCCGTATAAACAATTAATTTGTTTATAACAAATTACTCGACCATCTGAGCGAAGTGAGAGTTGAAAATTCGGATTCAGCGGGTCAAAATACGTGGTAAATACACTTCGTTTCTTGTGGGACCTTCCAATGCGTACGAAACCCCCTCAGTGCCTACACGGAAAAACTTTTGACCATGTTTCACGCTCGAATGCATAGAGATACATCCGCGCTCTGAGTCGAGCACAATTCATGCTCTGTCTCAAGCGCGAAACACCCTCGGGTTCTGAATGAGTGCTAACTAATATTGAAACTTACATTTAATTTAACAAAAATCGTTACAAAACATCAAATCTTACAAAAATCGTTCTTTTTCATTTATTGTGAGTGTGGAAATTTTGAAAATTTTTATAAAAGTACCTTTTGATAGGAATAAAATTAACTTTTAAATGATTACATACGCTCAACCAAAGAAGCTGGTTAAACTTCTAAAAAATTTGTTTACGCGATCCGAGACTCAGAAATTAATATTTTCAAACATGTTTCCTGAACCAAAGTTATTATAACGCATCCGAATATCAGCTAATTCACAAATTATTACGAGACAATTCAACAAGAAATAGTTAGTAGAAGTTTCAGAAAACTTGTTTGAAAATTTGAATTTTAGGATGGGTTTCGGATCCTTTTATGAGCAGACGCAAGTATGAGTAACCCGTGTTTTGAATTTTCATTGATTTATTTCAAAAACACTTTGTAAAATAAAAGTGACACTTATTAAATAGTAATTTACTCGACTGTACCATTTAATTCTTTTTAAAAAAGACCGAGTACTGAATTGTGGCTGGATATTGGGAGAGTCACATCAAGATGGGTGTGAATCGCACTGGTGACGATACGAGCTCAGCAGAACTCGTGAGTGATTCGTTTTCAGAATTCGAGCGTGAAAGATGTTCAAAAGTTTTTCCGTGTATAGACTATCAATGAATGGCTTTCAATTTTGAAAAAAATCCAATGCGCACTCTATATGGTGCATTATTTCAAAAGCGTGATATGACATGTCTTGTTATTGTAGCTATTAGAAAACTTTAAAAAAATGAAAACTAAGACGGTAGATCCTTTCATTTTACCGAATTTTACCTTCCGCAACTATAAAATTTCCATAAAAAAAGACCACATTGATTTGCCAGCCGGATAAACACACAAAATGTCCCCTCCGTGACCTGTCCTGAACTCAGAATCGATTGTTTTCACTCATTAAAAATATTTTTACAAATATCCAGCTATATTGCGATACATGGGCCTTATTCTATACATCCTAGAGAAAGTTTTTTTGTATTACTCGTCATCTTAAATAGTCTCAAAACAATTGTACACAAGTAACAAATGTGTCCTTAAATTATGTGAAATTTTACATCATTACAAATATAGTGCCAGTAAACGTGCTAGACAATAATTTTGACCTCTCTAACTATACGAGGGTCATCTTTCAAAACTAAGGTACTCGATTTTTACCCGGAGAATATTCAAATCTTAGTTGCAGCTTCGCTATAACAATACTTACACACGAAAATCTTACTAGTAAAATAAAGTGTCCCCTCCGTGATCGACGAGTTTTTGAGCTAGCACTTTTTATTTTTGAATCTGGTGGCGTAAAAACGTTCGTTTTTACAAACAATTTTTGTGCGTGATCGGAAAAAAAATTTTCAACTTTGTTGTCGTCGTGAAATTTAATAAAAGGGCCATTTGTCCCCTCCGTGAGTGTCCCCTCCGTGACAAATTTTCATGTTTGCAATAAGAAAATAAACGGATTAGATGATGGCAGGTAAAAAGTAAATATTCCATGAAAAAACAAAGAATCAAGTGTCAAAAACTACGGGGGTCCGGAAAAATTAAACTTAAAATAGAAGAAAATAAGTTTTTCAATTTTTCCAATATTGCCCATTTTACCCACTCCAAATATCACACTTTTGAAATAATGCACCATATGTACATATTCAAACTATTAACATCACAACATGTGAAACTCATTAAAACTCAAAATATGACATTGTTAAAATCTCATTTTCCGATTTAACTACTTATAAATAAGTATGAATCCCGGCAAAGTATTTTTTTTCATCCTTCACTCATTGACTTTTTCTCCCATCTCTTAATGGATAACCATTATAGAACTTTTTTATGATGACCATTATTTACTAAGAAAATTTAAGAAAGATTAGAAGTTTGAATGAATTACTGAAAGATTATATCGACTCATAAAATATAATTCATTAAAATGTTTAAATATCGAAATAATCGTCAAAGATCACTTTGCGTGCCCAGAGCTCATTGGCCACCAAGTGCTGTCGTGACATTTTTTTTATTTTTCAGAGGCTTCAATTAGTAAAACTACTTTTTATTTCATGTCTAATCTCTAAAAATGAATGTTAAATTGCACTTATTTATATTTTATTTTTATTGAATTTAAAGAAATAATTTAGGAAAAGTTGATGCAAGTGTATGCTGAAAATATAGTTAAGTTTAATAAAATAATAGACTTCTTGACATCGTAAATAACAACTCAGAATTTATATCACATTAAGTTTGACCTTGAAATAAAATTTCCATGATATTATATTCTAGAAATGGTGACTTTAATCATTTAACTTATTGCATCTTCAGCAACAAAATTATAAAACCAGTCAACACCGTGAATACTGCCTTTTTAAATTCGCGTATATAGATCGAGTGATAGTTGCACAAAAAAAACTGTGAATTAGAAAAAATCGTGGATAGTGAAACCGTAAATATCGAGGTTTCTCTGTATGTATGTACTCGAAAGGATTCAACTAAATGGTATGAAAAATGTTTAAAATTATTAAGAGTGCGAATTCTTTCGATGCATTAGATTGATTTTGTTCACATGTAAGCCAATGAGCTCTGGGCACGCAAAGTGATCTTTGACGATTATTTCGATATTTAAACATTTTAATGAATTATATTTTATGAGTCGATATAATCTTTCAGTAATTCATTCAAACTTCTAATCTTTCTTAAATTTTCTTAGTAAATAATGGTCATCATAAAAAAGTTCTATAATGGTTATCCATTAAGAGATGGGAGAAAAAGTCAATGAGTGAAGGATGAAAAAAAATACTTTGCCGGGATTCATACTTATTTATAAGTAGTTAAATCGGAAAATGAGATTTTAACAATGTCATATTTTGAGTTTTAATGAGTTTCACATGTTGTGATGTTAATAGTTTGAATATGTACATATAGAGTGCGCATTGGATTTTTTT